AGAGAGAGAGAGAGAGGTCGACAGTGAGAAAGGAAGGAAGGAAGGAAGGAAGGAAGGAAGGGAAGGAAGGAAGGAAGGAAGGAAAGAAAGAAAGAAAGAAAGAAAGAAAGAAAGAAAGAAAGAAAGAAAGAAAGAAAGAAAGAAAGAAAGAAAGAAAGAAAGAGAAAAAAATTGGCCCCTGTATTGTCCAAAAAACCCTCCGGGTAATTCTGATAAGCAGCCAGGTTTGGAACAAGTGGTATAGGAGAAAAAAATGAATCTTAGAGTCAATGCAGACCTGGGCTCCAATCCCAGCCCCACTTCTTGCTAGCTCTGTGACCTTTGAACCTTCACCTCTCTAGGCCTCAGTTTCTTCATCTGTAAAACAGAGATAAGAGGAGTAGCCACCCAACAGGGCTGCTGCCAAGATCCACTGAGGTAACGCCTGCAAAGTACAGAGCCAGCGCCTGGAACACAAATGAATGAATGAATGAATGAATGGACTTTCCCAAGGTCAGCTTGTGAGTATCTGGCAAAGCCAGGGCTAGAACCAGGTGCTTTCATCCCAGTAATCTCCTCACCCTTCCAACCCCTTCCCTGCCTTTGACCCAAGTCTGGATGATGGGGCTCTAACTGCAGCCCCTAGCCTAACGTGGAGCACAGCCAGACTCCAATGAGGCCCCTCCTTGCCAGCTCTGGTGACCATGTGGGCCATTGTGCGAGAGGCGGGCTCCCCCGACACCCTGTCACTCACTCACTCTCCCTCCCTGATCATTAACCCAGGCAGCACTGCCATCAATGCCAGGTGGCTGCTACTGCCAGGCACGCCCCATGGCCCCTAGATAACCCCAAGCCCATCTTCGGGGCAGCCACCCAACATCAAGGAAAACAGCCTCCGTGTACTCTGTTTCAAATCCTTGTCATCCTCAAGCCTTACCAACCTTCCTCCCTGCCTCTGCTCCTGCGGTGACCCTCCTGGCACACAACTTCCACACACAGGCCAAATTCTACTTAACCAAAGCAACATGCCCCAAACTGAGCTCGTTATAGCGCCCCTTCCTAACCTACCCTCCCTAGTTTGGCCCATCTTTTACCCAGGTGCACAAGCCAGAACTGACTGTCCTCCTGGACATTTCCCTCTTCCTTACATCCCATAACCCATCCCTCACCAACTTCTGTTGAGTTTATATCCTAATCTCACCAGAATCTGTCCCATCTCTGTCCCATCCCCACATGGCCTCCTGCAACGGCATCTCCTGGTCAGCTCTCCATCCCTGCAATCCATTCTCCATACTGTACCAGAGGGATCTTTCCAAAACAGAAGCATCCAAACACGGCCACTCTGAGCTAAAAACACTCCGAGAAAGGAGATTACCATTGCTCTGAGAAAGAAGATGAAACCCCATAGCCTGGCCGCTGCTCTGGCCTCTTCCATCCTCACCCTCCCTCAGGGGCCCCTGCAACACAAGGCTCCTTGCTGTTCCTGGGACAAATGTGCCGTGCTCCCCATCATCACCCAACCCCACTTCTCCCTGTTATCTTCCAGACAACCAATAGATCTCAGCCCCATGTGCCCTCTGCAGGGACTGGCCACTTGGAATTAAACGCTAGGTCTGCCTCTCTGGCAACTGGGAGCTCTGTGAAGTACTCCGCATTACATCCCTAGTGCCCAGCACAGGCGCTGACACAGTGATACAAGATGAATGAGCAGATGCACAGTGATACAAGATGAATGAGCTACCGAGCCTAGCTGGTCACCCGAGCCTGGCTTGTGGCCCTCAACCCAGTGAGGCTGATGTGACATCTCATTTCACAGGTGGGTAAACAGAGGCCCAGAGAGTCTGAGCCATTGGCCCATGATCACAAAGCTGATGAGTGATGATAGAGATTCAAACACACAAAGACCCAACTCTTATTGACCATGCTTGGTGGTTTCATTGTTGCAGCCACCAGAGATAATAACCTGGGAAGAAGAAAATCGGAGTGGAACTTATTACCAACTAATTGCAATTCATTAAGCCTATGTTCTGACTTTATAACGAGGTTCTGGTACTGCACAGGGCCTTTCAGTTTTCTAACATGCTTTTTCATCCTTCATATAACTAGATGCTGAAGAATAGCCTTGGGAAGTGGGCAGGACAGGAGTGTGATTGCATTGCATAGGTGAGGAAACTGAGGCCCAGAAATGGGGAAGAGATTAGTTCCTGGTCACCCAACAAAAACAAAAAATAAACAAAAATACCCTTCAGCCCCGACTGCCAAGACTTGAGTACTTTTCACCAGAAGCATGCCTACATATGGCTGTGTCTGTGTGACCCTGCCAGATCTTACCACAGCCTTTGGCCATTTGTTCCCTCCAGCCCCTGGGTCATAATGCTCTAACACCACAGTGGCCATTTTCACCCACATTCCCACTGCCCACCCACTCAGCCATCCCTCCCTCCCAGCCTTAATCATTCTTGAGCCCTAACTAAGTGCCTGGCACATTAACCTGGAAGGTGAGTCTGTGGTTCTTCTATCCTTCCGGTGCAGCCCAGGACTGGGATGGGCATCGCTTGCTGATGTGATGAGCCCTGGATAGTCAGTAACTTCTTCATGGGATGTCCTGAGGCCCAGGGAGCACAATGGGACCCCCAAGCTTCTCAGCCACTCTGAGGAAAACTAGGGGCTGGAAACTTTAGGGAACCAAAGACTGTTATTCTGTCCTTGACCCCCTCCTTAAGCTCCCGAAATCTCCCTTCCTTGGGAAAGAAATGAAAAACTACCCCAAGGTCACTAGGGGCTGGAAACTTTAGGGAACCAAAGACTGTTATTCTGTCCTTGACCCCTCCTTAAGCTCCCGAAATCTCCCTTCCTTGGGAAAGAAATGAAAAACTACCCCAAGGTCACCCACTCCTTCATGCCCAGATTGATAAATTTACCCCTGTAGTTAAAATCCACAGGGAGTCTGGGGCTGAGCAGAGGCAGGTGAGGATTTCAGGAGTGGATCAAGAAGAATTGATGAAAGCCTTGCTTGGAAGGTGGTGACCCAAGTTCCAGCCTGAGTGACATTGGACAAGTGCTTTACTCTTTCTTAGCCTTGGAACTTCAGAGTTTAATGAGATTATCCCTGAAGTTATCAGAAATGATCTTCTAAGCACTAAATTTGCTGGGTTCTTTGATTCCGCTTGCCCACACAGGCAGCAACACCATGCTGATAGGAGGCTACAGGGCACAGGGGTTTAGGGCACAGGAGCTTTGTGGGTAGTCGGAGACCTCCAGGTTCTCTCTTGAAAGCTGTGTGGTCTTGGGCAAGTCGCTTAACCTCTCTGAATGCCAGATTCCTTCTGTAATATGGGGGTAATACTGACTTTACAGGATCCTTGGGATGATAAATGAGACCACGTGCTTAAAGTCCTGGCCCAGGACCCAGCTGGCACAGAGCTCACACATAAAAGACTTTGGTCATTACTGTGAAACGCCCAGATGGCCGGCTCCCTGCAGGACTGAGTTTAATCTTCCTGGCTCGAGCTTTGGGTCCTACGCACGAAAAGGAAAAGCCAGCCTTCCCAAGTGGAGAGAAATGCTGCCATCTCCCTGTGACCCTCTCCCTGAGGCTCCCAAACAGTTCCAGTGGTCACTGACCCACCCAGCTAGAAACTGTCCCCACCCTGAATACTTAAGGAGAGGAGGAAATGAGCCTTTCTCAGCCAACTGAAACACGGGTTATAAGGAGGGCGTGGCCACATCAAGGAAAATACACACACGTAGGACATACACATGCTTCTAAATGCATGCTCCGTGAGAAGAGTGAAACACAAAGTGTGCGTGTGCCAGGAATGCACTGCTAACAGCGAAACTTTACGGGGTACCTATTACATAAAGGCATTTCCCTGGATTAGGATCTCATTATTTAACTTTCATACCAATCCAAAGAGGTAAGGATTATTATGCCCATTTCACAGGAGGGGAAGCTGGGTTTGAACCAAGCTGTCTGAATCAAGACAGTGTAATTTTAATGACTTTGCAACTGAATCTGGCAGTAAGTAAAAAGGTTGAAAACAACCTCGGTGTCCAATAATAGGTGATCACTGAAATAAATTATGATATTTCTGCTCAAAGAAATATTATGCAGCTATTAGCAGTCATACTGTAGAAGAACAGGAAGTGATATAAAAATGTGATATGTTAACTGCACAGTAAAATGTGGAGGAAGGGAAGGGAGGAAGAGAGGGAAAAAGGAAAAAAGAGAAAGAGATGCTCCAAAACGTTTATAATAATTATTATTAAGTAGTAAGACTATGGCAAGTTTACTTTTTTCCTTATGTGTATCTTCTAAAAATAACAGTTGCTTTAAAAATAAGAGTAAAATGAGCATTTACTAGTCTTAAAAACAAAAGTCACCACCACATACAAGTGTAGTGCTTCATTCTGATGAGACCTGGGCCATAGCCTCCTTGGTCCCCGCACCACCTCCAGGTGGGAAGAGTGGCTGGGCTCTTTGAGGCCCTTTGCAGCTCTGACATTCTGTGACATTTCGTAACTCCCATCCCACACCTTCTCTCTTCCTCTTTTTAAACTCTGACACTATGTGCTCTTTCCCGCACGTATAGCCACTAGGCAACGAGTAGGAATATGCGAAAATCACAAAAAGAAAAGGAAGCAACCCTAGCCTTAGCCACTCAACATTTTAGGGCATGGCATGTGCTGTTGGATTGGATCCTCATAACCAGGCATTTAACAGATAAGGAAAGGCACAGAGAGGTTATACAACTTGCCCCAAATCACACAGCACATTAGAGACAGAGTTGGATGTGCACCCACAAGTAAAGTGTTGCCCTCCAAGTGAACCTCTGACTTAGCAGGGCTGAGTGCAGCCTCCTTGACACTGAGGACCTTCCTGGTCCTTGGTCCTTGGCTGTGGTCTCAAGATTCTAAGAGACTGACAGCAGAGCATCCCACTTTAGCCTAGAATAGGCTCAGTCTCGGGGAAGGGTCTGGGGAAGGAGAATGCTGGCAAGGGTCTAGAGGCCAGTGCTGGACAACCCTTGAGGGTATGGGGCGGGGAAGGGGGGGTCTCTTGACACAATCGAGGTGGAGTTTGCCTGGCTCTTCGCAAGCAAGATCAGCGCCAAGATGGGACTGTAGGCTGGAATGGAGGAGGGACCAAAGAATTAAAAATGCAAAGGTCTGGGGGGAAAATGGCCTGGATCCAGATCTGGTAGCTCGGACCTTAGATATGTTTCCAAACCTCCCTGATATCTTCATCTACAGTCTTAGCGTAACACTTTCCTCAGGGGTGTATGTGTGGAGTGATGAGACAATATGTGTGCAGCTTAGCACACAGGAGGTGCTCAGAAAACACAGAAGGGGTACTATTGGTCTCCTCCAGGCTCCCCTGGTCAACCTGTGCCTCTTCCCAGTCGCCCTGCCCTTGACTCATCCTCCAATCCCTTTGCCGGATAAATCTTCTTAGAGCATCATTCTGGTCAAGCCTTTCCCTGCTTAAAGACCATGATAGCTGCTGTGACTTTCAGATTAAAGACCAGACATTTTGGCCTGGAATTCAGGTTCATACTACCTGTTCCCAGGTCAGAGGGCTGCTACACTGCCCAGCTCACAGCACAGACGAGGAGCCTCATCCATAAAGGTTTCCTTCCCAAATCCCACACTTTGGGGAGCTGCAGTGGGGCGCGGGTGTTCTGGCCTGGCTCCCTTGGAACTTCCTGCATGGCCAGGAAACTTCAACTCCTGGCTGCCATGCAGAGTAAGACTGGCATTCCATCCCCCTCGACACCCTTCACTTGCTGCTTTCTTTAAAAAAAATTAAAAAAAATAAAAAACAGAAAAGGCCCTGATTTGTGGCATTTACTGATTTCCATAATGCAAATACCCTTATTATGGCCAATTTCAAGCTAATAACATATCACTGAGCACAGCACTGGGAAGAGATGAGCACAATAGACTCTTACCAGATGACACACACCTGCAACATCCAAAGTAAGGACCACTAACCTCAGAGAAGAGCTGTGTGAGCTCAGGTGAATGACTTAACTTCTCTGAACCTCAGCCTTCTCATCTGTAAAATAAGAACAACAATTGCACTAGCCGCATGGCAACGATGTGAACACTAAGTGATAGAATCTAGGTGATCAACAATGTATTGAACAACTACTATGTTTAGGGTTCTGCACTGGGCACTGGAGGGCGACTGGTAACAAGATAGACAAGGGCTCCTGCCTTTCCAGACCCCACTCCTTGCAGTAAAACCCTTGGTACGGTGGCTAGAATATAGCTCTCAATAATCATTAGCTATTATTACCAATGGTACTATTGTCGTTATTCCTTCCTTTCCCTGAGCTTGTTTCCTCATCTCCAGACTGAGAATGTGAGCTGCACAAAATTCTCTATGATGCCAGCTAACTTGAGTCTTAAAGCAACACTGAAGTAGGCATTACCATTCCCATTTTATATATGGGAAAACTGAGGCGCTAAGAACTGAAGCCGGACTGGGGATTTGAACCAAAATCTTCTAACTCCTGGTCTCCAGATTTGTCCCACCTCCTGTGACTGAGAAAACATAAAAAGGCCCTGGAATTCAGCTGGTGGTTCAGCTGGATGCTTTAAAATTACATTCTCTCCCCACCTCCATGGGGGTAAATTGAAATGTCATTGGCCTGCATTAGTTTCCAAAATACCCTCTCAGTGTGACAGCTTCAATGTCTGGACCATTCCTAGGCTCTCTGGAAACCCCAACCCTGGCACCCCTGGAGGACAATGCAGGCTGGTGGGAGCTGATGAAATTTCCTTGTAAGAAACAACCTAAATCACATGTTTCAAATTCAAATCGCTTGACTTTGGGAGGCAAAGGCCCCATGTGGGTACATGCTCCCTCTTATAGAACTGAGACAGTTACTGGAAGGAAATAAACCCTAATAGTCCCCAAAATACCACGGGGAGCCATCCTCCCACTGGTAAGTAAGCCAGACTTAGGCCCTCTCAAATAGATGGGCAGAAATTCTATTTTCTTGACAAAACAAAACCAACAGCTAAAAAATAAAACTCACCGACTCTAGAGGAGGTGCCAGGAAAATTCTCTTGGGAAGTCCCTGTAAGTATCTAACCTCAGTCCTTCATGCTTCAGTTTCAGCCATTTTTTTTTTTCTCATTCTGTTCTAGAGGACAGGAACAATGTCTCTTTTCACTGCAGCCTATCTCAGCTTCTCTTCTTAGCTCCAAAATAGCCCGTTTGTTATCAGCAACTTTCGTTTCCAACTTTCTCACTCAGAAGCAGAAGCTTTTGAAACATAGGCAATCATCCGCTCCAACCTGTCATTTCTTTCAACAAAAGCCCGGAAAAGGAGTCTCATCCAAGGCCGCACAAAAAGCATACTCTGTCAATGCCAGCTCCATCACACTAGGGAGAGGCCAGCTCTGCACCTGCCCTGCTGTGTGTCTTTGGACAAGCCGCGCCCCCTTTCTGGGCTTCAGTCTCCGCGTCTGTGTAACCAGAGGGGCTGGCCTTAAATCTGCCGTCCGTTCCAGTTCCTACCACTGTCGGAGATGCTCACCCCCATGCTGGCCCTTGCTCTACTTCCCTCCCCACTGCCAAAAAGAGGAAAAGAAACTTGCGTTAGGTGTCCGGGGAGAGTGCGCAGCTCCGAGTTGTCAGGGTGCGCGGGTTGTTGCCTGGCGAGCAAACCTCACACAAATCCCAAGACAGAAAAGTCCCTCCTCCCCGGTAACCACAGCTACCCGGCCACACCTCCAGCCCAAACACAGCCCAAGGCCCCGCCAAGGACCACCCCCGGATTCCCTCGGGACCTTTCCCATCTCGGCGACCGGACCTAGCCTGAGGGAGTGAGAAAAAGCCAACGCCCCCATTGTGCGGAGGTGGAGACCGAGGCCGGAGGCTGTGGACTGCAGAACCTCGCCGCGGGCTGAGTGTGGACTCGGACGCGATCACCAGTCCAGGACTCCCTCTCATTCCCGGAGCAGCGATCCTTCTCCTTCGCTTGCGCGTGGGGTTTCCACGTGGGAGAGACCGAGAGCAGCACAGTCCCTGTGGATCTCGGCCCATTGGCGCAGTCCACCCTCCCTCCCCATTACCGGGACAGAGAAACTGAGACCAAGCGAGGAGCCGGAACCCGCCCCAGACCCACCGTGAGCCCCTCCCCAGGTCTCACCTGCTGGCCGCTGCCGCGCGGGGTGGTTTCCTGGAGTTGAGCGGCAAACAAAGGCCTCCAATCCGGGCGCGGGGCGGGGCAGTGACTTTTTGCATAATCCCTGAGGCCGGCCTCTGATGGGCGAGGTGCGGCCCCAGGAGGCGGGGCCTCAGAACCTCCACCAATCGCACAGAGGCGGCCGCCCGCGGCCCGCCCCCAGAGACTCCCGCGTAGCTCCAGCACGGAAAATCTCAAATCTGGGAGTTTGCGTGTCCCTATTGGAACCCGTCCGACCGCTGGCGCGAGACTGAAGCCCGGAGTTAACACGTTTATGGAAGGTCGCAGTGAAGAAGAAAACCACAAACTTTCACAGGGGTTTGAAACGGACTGCTTCATAACAGTAGTAATAATACTGTACTAAAAACTCTTCTTGAGCACTTATGTGTCAGACACTGTTGTAATCTCTTACTGTGCCCGATCCCCTCCTATGAGGTAGGTAGGTATTATCATTATCCCCAAGGATATTCTAGTCTAAACCACCCTTAAGCAAGCAGGGAAACCCAGTCTTGGAGAGAAACAAGAACTCGCCTAACGTCCTTCAGTGAATATAGGACAGAAATAATCTATTGTCCCCTGAAAGTGGACGTTGAAGGATGGCGGTGTAAGGTGTCCAATTGGCCTAAGTTCTCGCCCCAGTTCTGCCACTGGCTGCCACTGAGCTTCAGGCAAATGTGATTCATAACTCCCACCTCACGGGGTTGCTGAGGGGAGTAAATAAACAGCACCCCGCCTATAAGAAATAAACCAATGGCACGAATTTAAAGAGTTCCTCGAAGAATTCTATTTCTTAGTGGGGATAAATAGACACTGAAACAGAAAGCGACTTTCTCAAAGACCTGCATCTAGCCCTGTGGCAGCCCAGTTCTTTCCTCTTGGCAGAAATCTCTTCCCAGTTCCCCAGGTTGCCAGTGACTTCCGTACACACATCTCTAATGGTAATCACAGTAGCGGCTTCTATTCACTAAAGGCCCACTCTGTCCCAGGGACATTTTAGCTAACTCTTACAATAACTCGCAAGTTAGGTTAGTATTATGTTCCCCATTTAGAGGTGTGGAAACTGAGGCTCAGAGAGATTGACTTGCCCAGGATTACACAGGCAAGAAGTGGTGGAAGTCAGGTTGAATTTGATCCCAGGATTCAGACACAGGTGTGGACTCTTTGAGCTGTGACTTGTTCTCTGTCCTTTATTCCCCACACTGGGCTACTCCAACCCCTTTCCCGTTTTCTCCCAAGCAGAGGGGGCTCCAGGTGATCTCAAGGCCAACTCAGCACTTGCTTGGGCAGGCCCTGGCTTAAGCCAAAATCTCGCTCCTTTCCTGCCTTCATCTAGCAGCAGACCCTGAGACTCTCTTGCCGCACCTCCCCCTCCAGGTCTAGCATCATGAGTAAAGACATTAAGGCTATAGATACATGTGTCCAGGTAGACATCTGGCCTCTCCCCCTCCCAATATTCAAAGCTGCCTTAGGCAGTGTATTGGGTCCCTTCGAAAGACAACAGGACACATGATTGTCCTGGGGCTTCATGTTGTGGATCTCAGGCAGCAATGGGTCCAAATTTGTCCTCTACCACTCACTAGCAATGTGACTTTGGGCAAGCAACTTGACCTTCCTAAGCCCACTTGCAAAGGAAATTTTTTTTTTAGGTTTAAAATTCTACAGCCCCAGAGTCAAGTCCAGGAATTTCAGAAGCAACAGTTCCAGAAACTCATTCTTATCTTACCTTTTTCAGAGTACAAACTGGGGACTGTGAGGAGCAGCTGCTGGGGGCTCTCTGTCTCCTGGGCAGATTAGAGGGGCTCTTTCTTTGTTCATTATCATCCTGACTGCAAATTACCTCTTTGGGGCTGACTCTGAGGCTGGCGCCATGGTCCACACCCAGCATCCCAAGCTCCATCAGAGGCAAGTAGCAGTATCTCAATGTATTAGTTTCCTGTGGCTCCTGTAACAAATTACCACCAGTTCATGGCTTAAAACACTAGTTTGTTCTCTTACCAGAAGTCATAGGTCCAAAATTAGTTTCACCGGGCTAACGTCCAGGTGTCAGCAGGACACGTTCCTTTAGTGGGCTCTGAGGGAGAATTCATTTCCTTGACTTTTTCAGCTTCTAGTGGCCACCTGTATTTCTGGGCTCATCGTCCCTTCCTCCATCTTCGAAGCACATCGCTCCAATCTCTACTTCCATCATCGCAACACCTTTTCTTCTTCTGTGTCAAATCTCCCTCTCCCTTTTACAAGGACCCTTGTAATAATATTGGACTGGCCCAGATAATCCAGGAAACCTCCCCATCTAAATGCTTGAATCATACCTGCAAAATCCCTTTGCCATATAAGGTAACATTCACCCGTTCCAGGAATTTGGATACCTTTGGGGGCCATTATTCAGCCTACCACACCCATTTTCCAGATGGGGAACTTGGGCTCAGAAAGGTGATATCACTTCCCCTTGACCGCATAGGATTTGGAGTTTGATGCCAGGAGATCTAGGGCTTGACAAAGCACTCCTGCTGTCAGGTAAGGGTTCATCCTGCAGGAGTATTAGAACTGGGGAGGGGCATATGAGTGCTCTTGGAAGAGCTGGAGCCTTTAGGGATACTGGCTGCTTCAGGGGTCAAGTGGAATCCAGGGTTCTGGCCTCAGGGGACCTCCTTGTCTTGGGGCGGGGAGGACAGGGGCAGCTAAGAGCAGAATCTGGTGTAGTAGGTCTGTGGAATCAAGTGCCCCTAATCCACTTCTGGTAGACGCCTGGACACAAGGCTAGACCAAACAGGGCTTCTCAAACTCTTCTTGCCCCAGAGGAACCCTGGGGATGAAGGGAATGGGCACTGGGGATCAGAACATTTCTTGCCACCCTCCTCTCCAAGACCCCCTCCATGTATTTTTTGCTTTTAACACCCACTGCCTTTGACTCCTGGAACAGTGTGGCCTGCACAGCAAGAGGGTGGAAAGTGGCTGGGATTATTGCCTCTCCTCTCTCCCCAAGGCCTCATCCGAATACTGACAGAATGAAAGCCCTGTTCCCTGGCCCTGAGTGGGGACAACTCTGGGCTTAACTTACACATCCCCTGTGGGATCAGGCAGCAGCCATCCTCCCAGGACTACACCTGAAATCCCACCCTGCTTGGCTTCTTTCCCTTCCCCTCCTGACCTCCCACTTCTTTACTGCCTCCTCCCCTTCTTTAATGAATCACTTGCATACAGATCCTCATCTCTGAGTCAGTTTATGGGACCTGCCCTAAGGTGAGCCGCCTCTCTGTATCTTAAAACACCCACATACATCGTGCATTCTGCCCCACGACATACCAATGTCTTTTAATCCAAAAGTATTATCTGTAAATAACCTTCAGGTAGGATGTTCCAAGATGTGGGTGTGGTTCAAGTGCCCTTGTACACCCCGTGGGTCCCAGATTGAGCCATGGGGGTCATGGAGAAAGGGTGATGATGTGTGGTGCTCTGGATGCCTCCATCTGTTCTACCCGCCCCTCTTACCACATCAGACGATCAAGACCCCAGCCACACAGGCAGGCCACACAACACGCTGGACCCTAACATTGTTCGTATCTCTTTATTGAAAAATTAAAGTCATAAGCTCTGTATATAAATACACTGACGTCGTTGGTCACCTGCAAGGCCTCTGGGATAGGCTAGGGGTACAGTGGGAAGCTGGGATCCTGGGGGCCCCAGGGGTGTGGAAAGGAAAATAAATAATAAATACCATGGGAAACAAGGAGCTAGAAGGAATGGAGGTGTGAATGAGGGTGGGTGCTTAATGCTTATTTGTGGCACTAAAGGTCCTGCAAAATGCCCCCTTGGCTGGGGGCCATGTCCGTGAATTCTCATGCGACCTTACTCCAGGTAAAGGCCCAGGCATCTCAGGATAGGCTAGGCCCTAGCTGGCTGGAAGGCAGCTGTGCCCCCTAACCAACCTAGAGTAACAGGCCCTGGCAGGCCTCAGGAGAATGTGTTGAGACAGAGGTGCTGCTCCGCCCTTCCCCGTCTTTTTCCCCCTTCCTGAAACCCATGCTTGTATTGAGTGCCTGCTGTGTACCAGGCATGGCACCAGACCCTGACCTGACCTTCTGTTTGCCTCACCTGGCTCCTTCTCCCAGTTCTGGTCCAGCGGGCTGGGAAGAAGTGGGGGATGTCTTCCTGTTACCCTGGCCATGCAGCCCCGGCCCCTCAAGGAGCTTAACAGTGCAAGGAGGGAGGAGGGACCAGGGCCAGGAGACGGGCAGCAGTGGGAGGCCCTCAGGCCTCGGGCCCTAGAGCATCACATTGAACTCGGTGACCAGAAAGTCGATGTAGTCACGTTCCTTGGTCTTGAAGGCCTCTGCAATGATGCGCGCAGCTTCCCGATGCTCCTTGCCCCGAAGCGTCAGTCCATTCACTTCCAGGATCACGTGGCCCACCTTGAGCTGCCCACAGTTGTGGGCTGAGCCTCCTCGCTGCAGGGGCGAGACACAGGGCAGGGGCACATGGGGACATCTGAGGTCTAAGCTGAGCAGGCCTGACACTGTGAACCAGCAGCTACAATCTGGGTGTCCACTGCCCTGGGTAGGAAAACTGAGGCTCAGTGAGCGCAAAGGTGGTATGAGCCTGGGTCTGCGCTTAGGTCCTGGCTCACCTCGAGGGGTGGCAAAGCCCTGGGGATGCTGAGAAAGGTACTTTCAGGGGTAGGGA